AGAGCAGATGGATGGCGAATGTGTTCAGAGCACGACTGACCGCAGCCAGCCGGCGAGCACGGAGCGGGGCCTCCGCGTGTCGGGTGTCGCGGCCCCTCTTGCACACATCGGTCATCCAGACGCAGCCTCTTTCCTCACGCGGGCACGGCACTTGCCAGAACCTCGCAAAAAATGTGAGGTGGAGTTGCAAAATACTGAGATTCAAGAGAGCCAGCACGTCTGCAAATAATTTTCAAAATGAAAATAATGATAGTGCTCTGAGCGGTGGTGGGATTTGAGTTTAAGTACAGTTTTAGTGAGACCAGGTTTTCACCCAGAGGCTCCAGCTGAGAGCAGGATTCTAATCTGCCCAGGGGGGTTAATAGCAAGGGCATTCGCGATATTAAAGAGCCGCTTCGAATTTCTGGAGACCGCGTGCGCACTTGTCGTCTCGGGTGTTGCTCGCTGTTCGTGGGTGGAAGACGCGAGGGCAAACTATGTCCAGATCCGACTCAGAGACGATGAAGTGAAGCAGGAGGGATCGTCTATCACACGGCAAGAAAGCAGCGTCCCCTCACCCAGCCGAGCCCCAGCCGCCAGCGGGACGCGTCTGCGCTCGGCTCACCCGGGCCGTGGCCAGGAAAGAGCGCGTGACGCAGCTCAGGGTTCTCAGCCACGCAGCACATTTACGGTGACGCGGGGGCCGTCAAAGTCCTGGTGGCCACGCCACACCCAGACCACGAGAATCGGAAACCTGGGCCCGGATGGTGCTCAGGTGAGTTGGGACTGCTGAGGATGGGCACAGCCCTGCCCTCGCTCTGCTGCCGACTGTCTGGGTGACCCAGCCGGTGACCCGGGACCAGTTTCCTCTGTGGTGACCACGCACGTGTCACCCTCCTGGCCTGAGTGCCTTTCCCCGTGTGTAAGAACATCACACCCGGGGCGGGTCTGTGCCCACGTCCTTCGAGAGTCTGACTGTCACAGGAGGTGAGTGTGAATGTTTTGTAAACAAGGCTCTCGGAATGGCCTTTTTTTCATTTTCCGTGAATCTGGGGTAATGCGTTAATTCTTAAAGGAATGATTTTGGAGCAGTGCTTTAATGTATTTTAAATGTTAAAATAGGTTTGCTTATTTTTTCTCAATATAAAAGATATACGTGTGTTTTGCAACAAATATAGCCAATACAAAATGTGTAAAATAAAAGGTGAAAATCATCCGAAACCCACTATCCCAGGATAGCCAATTTGCTACACATCCACCACCCAATAACAGTCAGTCTGGCGTGTCCTTCCAAAATTTTTATTATGCATTTTTCTGCCAAAATAAAATGATAATAGGCGCTTTGTGGCCAGCGTTATTCACTTAGCAACGTGTACCGCAGGCGAATTTATCGTTCTCGGCACGGGCTACACGCAAACTGAAGGAACCGTAGCGGACCACACCACCTATTCCGTGTGTCTGTGCACGAGCGACCGGAGGCCGGGAAGGGAGCGGGGGTGTCTCTGGCGATGCCATTGGTTAGAGCCGCTCCGAGTCCCAGCAGTGACGCCCGGGGGCTTGGAGCCCGGAGAGGTCGGACGGAGTCAGTCTGAAGGGGCAGTTTGCGCCACGTGCCGACGCTGGGAATCAGAACACGGGGTCGTCAGCCCCGGCCCCGTGGAGAGGAGCCCCCAGGAGAGGGTCGACACCCGTTTGCCTGCACTTGGCTTCAGCGAACAGAGAGGAGGCTCTGGGTGGTCACCAGGACCACGGCCCGCTCAGGCTCCGATGCCTAGTGACATTCTGCCGGTGATATTTCTCTCCAAACACAGGATTTCTGCTCAGAGGAGGGTCAGAAGAAGGTCATGTTGTCGGATATAGAATTTCTAAACTGTCTTTTCCTGGGTGCCCTACACAAAATTAAACAGAACATTTAAATGTTTCTTCCGAGGAGTGTGACGCTAGTGTGTGCGCCTAGACTCCTAACCAAAGGCAGTCTTAATGCGTGGGACGGCGTTTGCAGGCCCTGGCCCAACACCACACGGAGCCCCCTAGAGCGTCCGGACGTCTGGGGGTGTCTGGAGGGGCATTTGGAGGAGGGAGATGACCTAAACCCTCTCATCTGAGCGGCCAAGGTCGAACCGCTGCTGGTGGCACCGATAGATTCAGGCGTCGTCCTGGGTGAAGCAGCTCAGAGCAGAGCTGGGGCCAGGCCCCCGCAGCCCTGCGGCCCCCCAGGCCCCAGGACCAGCCCCCCTCAGCCCTGCGGCCCCCCAGGCCCCGGGACCAGCCCCCGCAGCCCCCCACGCCCTGCCTCTCTGCGTCAGGTTCCAAATGTCCAGGAGCATTTCCTTTCGGTCCTCACCGAGGGCCCTTCCTTTCCGGAGACAGGCCAGTGTCTGAGCGGAGAACCTGGCCCAGACCCCCACCAGCCTCCGGGACGGCGCATACACTGCACGTCATGACCCGATGTCCCCAGTGTTCCTCCTCGGAGAAGCTGCGCCCCTCCCTCTAAAACCCAACAGACCCACCCTCCCCAGCGCACGTCTGGGAATCTGACGATGACGGCACATCCCAAAAGCAGCCTGACGGTCAGAGTGGCTCTCACGCCCTCTCCTGCTCCGGCTGCTCTACGCGTCCCTCCCGACCACACTGGACGCCTGAGGAAGTACACCGTCCTGGCGAGATTTACAGCGAACATTTGCACACGGGATTCGAGCACCGAGCTGGTGGCGGTCAGTGGACCACGTCTCATTCCCTGGCCTTCTCCTCCCATTAGCCCCGCCATACTTACCCTGGCGCCTCCCCCACGGCCCTGGCCAATAGGCCAACTTCAGGGCCACCTCCCAGGAACACCTCTTAGGAACACCTTCCGGGGCCACCTCCCTGGAACCCCCAGGACCCCCCGGGTGTTTCCCGACACGGTCTAGTCACCAGGCAGGAGAAAGAGCTGAGGACTCCCTCTCTCCCCTCCTGCCTTCGCCCCTGTGGGCTCTTCGGCACCTGACAGCTCCCGCGACTCGCCGCGTCCCTCTGAGCTGCTCAGACCCCCGCCAGCGGACTGACGGCCCCACCCCGGGCTACAGGACTCTGCGCTGCTCTGCCCTCCTGCACCCGAGTGTCTGCTCCGTGAAGCCAGACTGTTTTTCAACACCATCCAGTACGTCAAACAGATCAGTTTCACATGTCGAAACTGTGTCAGACAAACAAGACATACTTGTATTACATAAACGGCGCGCTCGTTCCAAAAGCATCAGTCCTGTCATCGCCAGCACCTGCGTCTCATTTCCTGCGTGGGCTCTGATCCGAACCATCAGCTTGTAAATGAGAAACCTTTATTTACTGTTTTCACCCTGGGGAAGGAGGGTGGCTCCTGCCAGTCCTCAGAGAATCTCCTTCATGTCGTGCACTTTGCAGACACACTTGTAGACGGGGGTCTTGAGCAATAAAGCATTTTGAAACACTGTGGCCCCAAGGGCCTTTGAACACGCTCTCCCCTCCCTCTCTCCTTCCCCTTCCTCCCCTCCCTCTCCCTCCTCCTCTCCCTCTCTCCCTCCTCCTCTTCCTCTCCTTCCCCCTCCCTCTCTCCCTCCTCCTCTTCCTCTCCTTCCCCCTCCCTCTCTCCCTCCTCCTCTTCCTCTCTCTCTTTCCTCCCCTCCCTCCCTCTCCCTCCTCCCCTCCCTCCTTCCCTCCCTCTCTCCCTCCTCCTCTTCCTCTCTCTCTTTCCTCCCCTCCCTCCCTCTCCCTCCTCCCCTCCCTCCTTCCCTCCCTCTCTCCCTCCTCCTCTTCCTCTCCTTCCCCCTCCCTCTCTCCCTCCTCCTCTTCCTCTCCTTCCCCCTCTCCCTCTCTCCCTCCTCCTCTTCCTCTCTCTCTTTCCTCTCCTCCCTCCCTCTCCCTCTCTCCCTCCTCCCTTCCCTCCCTCTCCCTCCTCCTCTCCCTCTCTCCCTCCTCCTCTTCCTCTCCTTCCTCCTCCCCCTCTCCCCTCCTCCTCTTCCTCTCCTTCCTCTCCTCCCTCTCTCCCCCCTTCCCCTCCATCCCTCTCCCTCCTCCCCTCCCTCCTCCCCTCCTTCCTCACTCCCTCCATACCCCTCTCCCCCGTCTGTCTCCCTAGCTCCGTATATCTACCCACTGACTGAGGGATGGACAGACAACCACACAGCCCCCGCTTTGCTCCAGCTGTTTCCTGTGAGGAATACGACGTTGAAAGTTCTAAAGTGGAAGACCCAGTTTTCTCAAACCCTTCTGGGGACACGTCCCTGTGGGGTGGACATGAGGTTCCTCTAAGCTACCGTGTGGGGATGCACCGGTGCCAGTGACCCACGGTTAGGGGGACTGCGACGAAGGTGCTTCCTCTAAACCAGCGAGCTGGGTCCTCGTGCTTCCCGCACTCTGGGGCGTTGAGGGTGGAAATGAGCCGGCTCCGCCGCCGTCCCTTCTTCCCAGCCAAGGGCTGTCTGGACTGAGACGGGCGAGTCACGGACTCCCGGGGACCGTGCGCGAGCGTTGCCATGGAGAACGCCGGTAGCGCCACCGTGGTCACAGGCGTGTGAGGCACCCCGGGGCGGGGGTCGCCGTGCCGGGCACCACGCATACGTGCGAAACTGCAGTCAAGGGGTCCAGGTGCGGCGCCATCCTCGAGGGAGCAGTCACGAGGCACGAGGTCTCCGAGGGAAGGGACGCGGGAGAGAGACCAGCGCCGCGGGTCTAGGGAGCCGCCAGGGAGCAGAAAGATTTGCTGTGAGGCCAGAAAACCCGTCAGGAACCTGACGCTTGTCCGAAGCCGAGGACAGAGAGGGCCAAGATGTGCGGCCAGCGGTGCCGAGAGCTCTGGAGAAGTTAGCCACGCGGCGGCCGGAGCCCTGCGACGAGCCCACTCCAGGCCCTGCTGTGGAGTCTCGGCAGGGCCCTGCGGGGCTCCCACGGGGACAGGCGACACCTGCTCCCACTCCGCTCACGCCTGAGGCACCGCGTGAAAGCCAGGCTGCACCTTCCTCTGGTCTCCAGGTCACGAGCTTCTCAATGGAACCCTCCTGCCCCTACCTATGACGTCGGCAGACGCTGCCGTGGGCACCCGGTCCTGCTCGGCAGTTCCGAGACGCCGCCTCTCGCCGCTGCGATCACCGCCCACACCCGGTCCCGTGAGCACGGCCCCAACCAAACCGCATTCTACCTCCGCCTACCACAGCCCCACACCCCGGCCAGCGGCGGACCCCGACGACCGGCGCCCCGCCGCTCGCAACTACCCCGGACGACGTCCACCTGCTCCAGCCTTGCCGGCCAGGCCTCCCCTTCTCACCGAAGAGGGTGGCGTGGGCTCCTACTCAAGGGAACGTTCCTCAGGTTTCCCCTTTCTGCCTGCAAACGCCCATTCATGTCCGCACGCCCTCCCTTCCTCGCCCCTGCCTCCGAGAGCCACGCGTTTCTCTCCTGCCCGGGACTGCGCAGCAGGGCCGCCACCTTCCCGCCTGAACACCACCTTCCCGTCACCTGGTCCTTGTCCTCCCTCTCTCTCCCTCGCCTCCCCGAGTAATTTTAGGCGGTTGAGTCTCGCGGTGTCCAAAGGAGGCGCCCGGCAGCTCGCAGAACGACCGAAAGAAAGTGCCGGTCAGCGATCCAGTCACTTCCTTCCTCTCTGACCACAAAACAGACCCGGCAGCTGGCCAGTGGGGACGGCGCGGGGAACTCGGAATCCGCCACCATCGCGCACGTCTCCTGCTCGTCTCGTAGCCACCGTGTGCCTGTTCCTGTCTCGGTTGTCTAAGAGGAAGCTAGTCAGTCGTGGAAGCGAGCCGGGCCAGCGCCTGGACAGGAAGCAACGGAGCCGACAGCACTGACCACCGAGGGGTCTGCACTGCGGCGGTTCGCGTTTTAAGAAGCCGACGCGTGTGCCCGACCTCCGGGTGGTGTCTGCGGGATCCTCATCTCCAGACCCGGCACCGTCCTGCAGTGTGGACAGTGGCGCGGGGGCCACGGGGCTGCGTGGCAACGGGGGGTCGTCCCACCTGGACGCCCCACCTCCCTCCTGCTGGGGCTTCATTCCAGGGGAAGGAGCCCGGGGGGGCCGAGGCCAGGACGGGCGCGGGGCGTCAGCAGGCTCTGAGCGGGGCTTGCGTGTGCTAACACGCAATCTTCTCAACGCCTCTGCGAAGGGACACGTCTTCCGTTCACGTCACAGGTGAGGAAAGTTGCAGAGTTCAAGGAACTTGTCCAAAGCGGGGGGGGGGGGGGGGGGGAGATGTGATTGTGGAAGCTCGAATTTGAGCCCTGGCCCTCCTGAATCCAGACCTGCGGGGGGACAGGAAGAGGGAGCGGAGGGTGGGTGGCAGGAAGGGGTGCTGAGGGAGGGCAGGGAGGAGAACAGGGGGCTTGGGTGCGGTTGGGACGGCTTCTTCTGACCCCACCCTCACGTGACGGCAGGTCGGCTACAGTGACGTGAGAACTTTCGCTGTTTGTCATTTGCTACGACTACTGGAAGTTTCCACTCTCATCGTCATAAGGAAAGAGGACGCTTTTTGGAGTCTCTTTTGGGAGAATTCTCTGCAGCCGCGTCGTCCTGGTCCCGGCCGGGCTGCAGCGTCCTGCACCGTCCTGCGTGCACACCAGGCGGCGCCCGGCACACACGGACGGGGCTTGCTGCCGCTGGCAAGTCGGCCTCCTTTGTCTTTAAGAGGAAAGAGAAGCCACAAACCACCTGAGCAGCCAGGTTGCTGGCAGCGTAATTTAAATCAAAACATGGATTTCTGTCTGACTCTGAAGCATTTATGGTTTCCCCTGCTGTAGTTTCGGGGCCCCGGCGTGCAGGGTGGCGGTGGCCCTGTGTGCGCTGACGGCCCGGCCCCTTCTATTAAATCAGATACAAACTGCAGGCTCCGAAGTGGGCGATCTCCCTAAGGTGCTTGGGCTGAGAGTGACCTGCGTCTGTTCAAAACGAAGGGCAGGAGAATCCCTCCAGCGTCGGTGGAACCCACAGAGCAGGTTCCGGGGCGGCCCTGGGGTCCCCATGCAGAGCAGCTTTAGGGGTCCTCAGTGGCCCCACTGTCACCCCCAAGGCAAAAGCCCTTGTTTCCGTCTCTGCATAAACCCAAGCTCCTTACGACAGGCCCACATTCCAAACCGAGCAATGGAGATAAAATTTGAATTCTATCTTTGACATCAATTTTCAATTTCCTGGGTTAGGAAAACATTAAAAAAAATCACGGACTGTTCTCTGGGCAAGGGCAGAGGAAAACCGTACATTCTCCATCTGCGCCGGTTGTAACGTAGAGGTTTAGCCGTTGCTTTTGGAAAGCTACCGGACAGTTGGTCACAAAAGCCACAGAAATATTTATATCCTTTTACCTATAAACCCACATAGAGGAATCCCACCTAAGGGAAAAAAATCCTTAATACAGAAAAACCATTATGCATAAAGATGTTCTTTCATCAAAGTGTGATTTCTAATAGAAATAGTTCACAAATTCTTGAAAGTCTCAAAATAAGGGTGGACTCCGTAGAGGACTTCCGGTCAGTAGAATACAGCCCAGGCGAGATTACGAGTCTCCGTTGCACAGAACGCAGGAAATGCTCCGCACGCGCGCTCGTGACTGTGTGCCGTGCACACAGGACACGGAGGCCAGCAGAAGCCAAACGAAAGCGTGCGCGCAGCCGTGCACCAGCCGTGCTCCAGCCGCGAAGTTCCAGCTCTCCTTTTCTGGGCTTTCTGAATTTTATGTGAGATGGTTATCTTTTATTTTCTGATTGAAAAACAAATACAATTCACTTCCTTTTTAAAATACACTTTAGATTATATTATTATGAGACTATCGAATGCTGTTCAGTAGAAAGGCACAGTCTTCCACGACCAACTTCACACATGCCAGTGTGCTCGCGTGCGGGTCCTCGCCGGACGGGACAGCGCACGGCACCACGGAAAACAGGGAAGCCACGGTGGCCGCCACAGGCGTGAGGTCCAGGCTGCAGCCCCAGGGGTGTGAGGTCCATCAGTGATAAGCAGAGGACGCCTGGGAAAATGACTTAGCTTTTCTTTGCCTCAGTTTCCCCATCTATGAAATACTCCACGCCTCACAAGGTTTTGGTAAAGATTCAGATGAAATAATTCATGTTAAAAATCTCGTTTAAAAGATCACTACAACCAAAGAATATCCACAGCAACAGAAGCAGGTTTGCCTTCTGGGTGGCAGATGCTAATTCATTTATTCACCAAGCACGTGTTGATCTCATCAAGCGTGTAAGCATCAGCCCATGTGTGCCTCCCTGGGGACGTCAGGACAAACGGGACGTGGTTTCTTCCTTACGCATTTTACAAACTCCATCTGGAAAAGCCAGGAGGACCCTGACAACCGAGTACGACGCCACATGCTCCTCTCCCTGCTAACCCACGTGTTCACATCAGCAGGAGTGACCCCGAGCAACTTTGTCACCCCTGCGCTGTCCCTGAGGTTTTTGTTACCTCCCAGATTGTTCCGCAGTCACCATTGTTCTCTGGGGGAGAAAAGCACCTTCCATTTTAAAAAAGAAAGTATTTTTGGACTTTTATTTTGCTTTCTTTACATGTTTTAGGTAGCAAATAAAGAACACATGAGTTTGCCTATTCCCAAATAAATTCAGGTAAAGGTGAGACGTCTGAGGGTAACTCCTCCCGGGGTCAGTCCCACGACTCGGGCCCCACCCATCCCCAGAGCCCCTGGGGGGGGTGTCCTTGCTCCTTGTTCATCAGGATGTTGGAAGACATTGAGTTTCATGTTCTCCCTAAAAACGTGGGCGTTCCAGCACTCAGGAGCACTCAGAGCAGAGCTTGGCAAAGTACATCCGTAATCAAGCACGCGAGGACCCTGCCGGTCCTCATCTGCGCGGCATTTGAGATTTGTCCCTAAAATAAAGTCTGTGTGACTTGTGTGGAGGACCAGGAGCTTCGCCATTGGCTGGAAAACCAACATCACAGTTGCCCATGACGACACAAGAACACACACGGTCTGTGTACTCATCCTCGGTAAGTCATGTCATCGCTATCAGTGGCAAACCGCGGCGTGTAACTACCTTAAAACACTCCTCTCTGTACCCGGTCAAGGGAACAGAAAACGCAGCGTCTCTGTCATTCTAGGTCACACAAAGCACTTGGCCAACATCTGTCTTCTTTTGAGTTTCGATAACAGCCACCCCAAGGGACAGAGGTGGTGCCTCCCGGCGGCTTTGATTTGCATTTTCCTGATGACTAGTGATGTTACACCTCTTCATATACCTCTTGGACATCTTATGTCTTCTTTGCAGACATATTTTTGCCCATTTTTTAATCAAGTTATTTGTTTTTCCACTGAGTTGTGTGAGTTCTGCATGAGTTTCGGATGTTAAGCCCCTATCAGATGTCTGGTTTGCGGATACTCTTCCCCAGTCCGTGGGTGGCCGTTTCATTGTGCCGACCATTCCCTTGGCTGCGCAGAAGCTTTCCAGGTGGAGGTGGCCCCACTTATTTATTTATTTTTTGCTTTTGTGGCCTGAGATTGCGGGGTGAGAACCAAATAGCCACTGCCAAAGCCTCTGTTGAGATTTTCCCTCCGTTTTCCTCTGGGAGTTTTGTGGTTTCAGGTTTTACATTTAGGCCTTTAATCCACTTTGTGTTGGTTTTTGTGCCCGGTGTAAGACAAGGGTCCAATTTCACGCTTTTGCAGTGGAAATCCGCCCGCCCTGCACCGTGGTGTCCTCTTGGTGCCCTCGCCGAGAGTCAGCTGGCTGCGCGCGTTTGGGTTGTTCTCTGGGTCTCCGTTCCTTCCACTGGTCGGTCTGTCCGCGTTTACGCAAGTACCGTGTAGTTTTCCTGACCGTAGCTGTACGGTACAATTTTAGATCAGGAAGTGTGGGGCCTCCAACTTTTCCTTCTCAGAATTGTTTTGGCTGTTTGGAGTCTTTCATGGTACCGTGCAAATTTTAGGATTATTGTTTTTCTATTTCTGTGAAGAATGCCATTGGGATTTTGGAAGGGATTGGGTTGAATCCACAGATCACTTTGGAAAGTTTGGACATTTTAACAATATTAATTCTTCCAGTCCTCGAGCACAGAAGATCTTTCCATTCATTTGTGTCTTCTTCAATTTCTTTTATCAATGTTTTATAATTTTCAATGTACAGATATTTCACCTCCTTAGTTAATTTATTCCTCAGTATTTTATGTTTTTTGATGCAATTTTAAAGAGATTATTCTCTTAATTTTTCTATTAGGTTATTATTGGTTATTATTTGTATATTAAAAAACGCTACTGGTTTTTGTATGTTGATTTCATATCCTGCAACTTTACTGAATTCATTTATTAGCTCTAACAGTTTTTTGTGGAACTTTTGGGTTTTAT